CATGACTTTTCTTGTCAAATTGCGACATGCATGGTGTCTCGGATGAGTTCTTGAAAATAATCTTCCGATATCCGTCTCGACAAAATACTAGCATGATAGTATCCAACGTACGTATATCTTTAATGGAGCGCTTTGTACCAAACAATATCGGATTTGGGGCAATAGATAGAGAACATTTTATTGCTAGACATGTTTCTCCATTTGCTAATAAGCTCTTCAATCCCGAGCCTGATATTCCGAAAGCCATTGTATTGATTGTACATATAATAAGATAGAAAAATTTAGTAATTTCAGAGTACTACGCCAATCCAATTGCTACCATAAAATGGAACATTTAATCAAACCTGAAGTAATGGTCGCCTCAGATGGATATATTTTAGCAATAAACGGGCCCTATTTCTCAGATGCCCGCAATAACGATGCATCGATTCTTAATCATGAACTTCAGCATGATATCGATGGAATGCGAGCATGGTTTCAAGAAGGTGATATTGTGGTAGTAGATAGAGACTATCGAGATTCAATTCCCCTATTTCAAGAACTTGGTATCAACTACCATATGCCTCCTCTACTTGCTAGGGGCCAAAACCAACTCACTACTTCCGATGCGAATAAAGCCTGACTAATAACCAGTACACGATCGCAACCATTGAACAATAATTGAACACGGGCACCCATGATCGAGAACAGAAGTGAAAATGAACGAGATCTGTAGCTTTGACAGCCTCACAACTAATGAAAAACTAGAGCGAAATGAGCCGAATTAAGATTGTCGAATTATTGTGTAATAACCGTCATACATGTGAATTGTTATAGTTATTCGTCAACGTACAATGCCAGACACACAAACAGGTATGATTATTGGGACAAACATTATCTGAATTCACCAATAAGCATTATTCACAAAAGAAGCTATGTCAATAAAAAATCTAAATAGACTAGAACTTATTAAATTCTCATAATTCCATGACACACCTGCGTTATGGTGGTAACAAATGTCCATTCAAGGATATTACAAATTGTTCAAGATAGCGATTTTTAAAACTACGAAATACATAGAATACCTATGTAATAATAAAATGATCAGGAATAGCAGATTTCTTTATAATAGTTATTACAATCAGAGCTGTTAAATATTTTTAATATCCAGTTTCTCTCAGTGAGGTGGTACATTCATTTCACTTGATTATCTGAGATGTTGTCTCCTAGTTTCTATAATATAAAAATATGAGTATTATTTCAATATATGTGTAGTAGGACGAATCAGATGATTTGCCCCGAAATTTCACTGCGTTTAACAAATTTTTCTATCAGGGAGCCTAAAAGAAAATTCCAATAGCTTGTCAGTGACACTTTGTTTGAGAAAATGTTTGAAGGGAAGAGATATAGAGATATTGAAAAAATATCGAATTTGTACTCATCTTTGGACGTCTCGGGAACGAAACTGCCCCCGTTCTCAAAATAAAAATACAAAATATGTTTCTTATAATATGTTTTTCTCATACTTTGTGATATATTTCCTCGTTGGATTAATCAAGAATGAAAATAATATCAGCAATGAATTTCATAAAAAATGACAATATGGATTTTATTGAATGTCTAAGTCGGCCGACTCGAATGAAGGTAGCAGACATATTGTTCATACAGGTGATCCAGACATTACGCTCAATAATTTAATAGTGATTTTCAAAATATGTTGGTATGATCAAGAATAGCCTATAGTAGTTGATTATGAAATCCCACTCCTATATCAGAAAATCATTGTAAGAATATTAAATAGTACCAGGTGCATAATTATTGATAAGTGTGATGAAGTTCCGTATCTCCTATGTCCTTTGAGTTATCAAATTGTGTAAAATTCAAGAGATTTTAGCAATGGATAGTCTTGACATTCTGAATCATTCGCAAAATTATAGGGTGTCAGAACACTGTGCTGAATCAAAGTGCAATTTTTGTAAATATAAGGTCCTAGGATATACGGAACTCTATCACACAAATCAATCACCCTGTATTTCAAATTCATCTGCACGTTCTATCGCAGCTCGTCAAGTATTATATCAAAAAGTAGGATTTCTGGAAAAAATATTACTCTAGGGCTGTGAATATCAACCTCAAATCTTAGAAATATTCAGAGATACATCTGACTATCTCGTACCACAATGAGAAATAAGTCATTGAAACAGCGGGCGATTGAAATAAGTATTAGTCCGGGTGCATAAACCGAATTTTTAAAGGGATCTTCACAAGAGTCCTTACGAGTCATTTGGGCCGCACTAACTGTGATCCGATCTTGGTTCCTTATTCCGTGTTGAACCCCTCAGATCAGAATTCTTCTCGGATCTTGCTATCGTTGAGATGCACAAAAGTTGAAAACATAAACAAATATTTGTATTTCGGAAATGGTGAATCGGGCTAGAATTTCATATTTCAATTGGGAAATTCCATGTTAGCGATTTGTACGGACCTTGTAAGGAAGCTGAATCAAGTATCAATTTCTGGTACAATTTGAAGTTCTGCCATTTGTTGATTTGAATTTGAAATCACTAACACTATTTATTTTTTCAATTCAAAATTCATAATATATCGACTATTTATTATCGCCTCACACGAAATTTTCAATTATTGGTGCCACAAGTGGCCCGAATCGAGAAATTTCATGCAAGAGAGCAAATTATATTCGTAATGCGATTTTCGTCCTGGGATGAGAAGAGCAAAATGTCTGGCGGAAGTTTTCAATTTTGTTAAAAATAACGGTCTCTAGAAAACTAATATTTTCAAATGTAAAAATGCTAAGAAAGGGAGATGTGGAACTGTAAGATGATCTACTAAAAACTACCCTGCCTCAATCACAAAAAAAAAATTCTTGGATCCAATGAATTATATTCGAATCAAATAAATTCCCTATTCCTATACGGCGAAAAAAACGTTTTATCTGATTGAAAAAATCGAATTATTCGACAGACAATGCCCATATTCATTTCATTCGAGTTAATATTGTTTTTCAGAATATGAACATTTTCTCAAATGCAAAATATAATAAACTCACTTGGGAATATATTTAAGTACTCGAAGCAAAGAATTATATTCACAATTTTCTAGATTTCAGTTGATACAAATGAATCATTATTTTGTTTAAACATATATTTATTCGATTCATGAGACCTATTCCATTCAAAACCGCTTATAGAGAGAGAAATATGGTAGTAGGAGATTCCATCAAAAACCACTTGAAGAAAAAAATATTGTAGTAGGATTCAATCCAGGGCCTCTCAAGGCGGAACTCTACTAATGCGGCCATCGTATCTAATTCAGAACTTAGTTTTGAACAGGACTATATCAGTGAAAATATTCGAAAACATTGATTTTTGACATTTTGATTATAAAAAATGCTATATATATATATAATAATGTGCATCATCATGTTTTATGCAGTTCTTTGTATACATTACTCAAATGAACCTAAAATATTTTTTGCGAAAGAGATATATTCTTGAAAATAGTGATTTCGTATTCAATGAGTCAAAAAAACTTGTTATTATTCGCGTCAAGCAGATATTTTCTTGAATTTCCAAAATTTCGGTTTTTCTCCTAAATGATCCTGTTATTCTGAACAAACAAATCAATTCTTTCGATTGGCAGTAATTATGTTTTGATCTAACAAATTATGTCGAATATTTCACAAAATACTTAGATACTGCATGTATAATTGTGACCACAGTCAGCCATCTAGTGTTTTGTTTCGATCAAAAGAATGAATCTGTCCTTATAGGCAACTCTGGAAATTCTCCCTTCAACAGATTGTTTCCCACTTTTTAGAATTTCTTCTGGTGATAGTCTACCCATATGGGTATGTCCGTTTCACTCCTAATCAATGAAGACCCCAATTATCTCGTTCTCAAGTAAAACACACATATCAATAATGAAGATTCACAAACGATATAATTCTCATAGAAATATTATTCATTATACTTATTCCATTTCAACTCCTGATCAGCAACTCTTTTCATATCCATTTTTCGATTAGGCTTTCATCATAGTGAACTGAATAAGCAGGAGTTTTTGTTTTGCAGAAACATTCGCAATATATTTTGAAAATTAGAAACAAAGCGGCTCTGGAAAGTTTAATACGGTATAAACCTTATCGAAATAATGGACTAGAGTATGTGTTTTTCAATCTGTATTCTAAGACACGCAGAAATCAATCCTTAAGAAGAGATGACCCTATAATATTGATAATAATGAAAATTAAAATTCATAAATAAATAAATTTCCTTGATAACCTGACGAGTAAGTAACCTTATTTTCATTAATTTGTAAATCTGTATTTAAATATTTCCAATTTTCGATTTCATAATATCATTTTATCAAAACCAAGAGTTTATTATCAAGTAACAAGTCTCAAATCCATTTTTTTGACAAATTTTCATGACATTTTCCAAAAAAAATTCAAAAATGAATTTCAAAAAAATATTTTTTTTCTGTTTTTCCAATGTTTTCCTATAGCTTGAAGTAGATTACTTACTCACAGGTATGCACTGATGATGAATTAACAGTCGAAAGCGCTCTGCTACGAGTAATAAATTTGAATAAATTAAGTATCTTTCACGAAATACAACACTTCCCTTTATTGATAATGTATTTACCAAAAATTCAGCAGTTTTCATTTGAAGAAATTCTCATTGCATGAATGAATGACATTACTGATTTTATTATTCATATTATACATAAACAGTCGTGATCCGATTCTGCAAAGAATAATGAGAAAGCGAACGGTAAAGTAAATTTTAAACACTTTCGTAGTACCTCATCAGCAAACACTTTCTCTTCTTTCGAGGAATACAATGTTAATACCGTAATTCTCAGTTGTGCATAAAAAGTTATACTTTCAATATAATCTTCTCCGTGAAATCGTTCATCAAAATCGATAATATTCAGTGACTTCACGATAACAATATAAATAAGGAAATAAATTAAGAACATTTTTCACTAAAGTAGTTTCCTCAAATATGAACTGAAGGTATGGTCAAAGTGTCTCTTCGTCTCCTTTTTTTTCCTCGATTCATCGCTATTGGTACGAACATTGCCATCGTTGCAGGAATAAGTCCAGCACCTACTCCAGCTAATATAGCACTGCTGTCGTTTTCTGTGGTTCCTGTACTTCTTGGTACAGTAGCAACGGTCGATTCCAATACATTATTCGAAGCAGATACTTTCCTCTTCCTTTTTACTAGCTTACCCGGTCTCTTTCGTTTCTTCATTTGATGTGTCCTCTTCTGTAACTTTTTTTGCGCTTGTTCAACAGTCTCGAAGGTAGATTCAACTTGAAGCAAACCTCCATGTGAAGTTGTCATGTTTATTTTAGAACCTTTCAAAGGGGGCAATACTGTGATATGGACTGATTTGTGGGTTCCGATTGATCCTGGATTCAATTTCAGAGATCTTTGTTTCTTAGGAAACTTATAGCCCTTACTTGTTGATAAAAGTACCCACTCACCATCGTCCATAAAAGGATGTGTAACTGGTTGCGGATCAGAACTGAAACGTCTATTGGTATCCACATATTTCACAGGAAAATTGGATGGTTGGCCATCTGTTACTATTCCTGAAATTTCAACTTGTTCATAATTTCCATCTTTCTGATAGCTGGTACTTGGTGTATCAGGAGTGTGAAGCATACTTGGTGTAACTTGCATATATACTTGCTGTCTGTGAATGTTTGATGGACGAGAATACTGTGCTCTATCTAAATCTTCTTCGTTCACATAATACACTTGATATTTGTTTTGGTCTGAAGGAGATTTGTATTTGTATTTATTCTGGAATGGCATATGAGAACTGAAATCATTCCATGGTCGCTTAGTTGATGGATAATCGTTCCAAGAAATGTCCGCAGGCATAGGTTTATTGTGCCATTTGGAAATCTTAGATACTGACCAAGGTACTGGGTCTAGCGAAACCCAACCAGAATTATCATCATAAGGATGATTGTGATGATTCGTTTTCAGTAAATTCCAACTTTTTTCATTTTTCTCTAAATGGTCTATGGTTGGATTATCTGCAGAATGTTGTTCGATCTTATCTAGCCTCACCTTTTCAGCATAGCTGTCCAAAAAATCACGCAAAGCTGTCTGTGAGAATTCTGTACTATTCTCTTCCTGGTCATCACTAGTCGAATGAGTTGGATTCGCAGTCGATGAAGTTGAAGTCCTTTTACGGTATTGATTCAGGGAATCCGAACTACCTTTTCTTTTTTCCCACAAAGGATCGCCTTCGATTATTTCCACAGAATCTGAGAAAGGTAAATCCAGAGTGAATGACCTGAGAGTCGTCAATTCACGTTCTCCTCTAATGCTACTGATGCAACTCAACACAAATATTCCGATGATCATCATTCTGTCGCGACAATTTCTCAACCCTGACTGGAATAATTCTCGGTCAACACTTAGTAATATAACTTTCCGCCACAATAAATTCGAATGTAGAACAAACCAAGCTCCCTCCAGTGAGTAATTGTTTTGGAAAAATGTCATTATTTCATCTCGTTCACTGAGTAGAAAGTCAAAGTAGCTTTAATTGGCAGTAATAGTGGAAAAGAGAAGCACATAAACAATTTCTCTCGACCACAAAATCGTGATGTTTCACGCTTTTAATTGTATCAATATATCATTTTAATAACATGCTAAACTTGAGAATTTTTTTGAGAAAATGACTAGTTCATTTAGATGTGCAATAATCCATCTACATTTACAGTTATTCCATAAAATTTGGAATTGAAGTCAACCATTGAAGATATTCAAATAACTAATTACCTATGACTATGTAATTAGGAATGGTAATCCGATGATTATTTATAACTGGTCTCATTTGAATTTGATAGTGATGATATAAATTGTTGAATTCCAAGTTATGAATGTATGTTTGTTTCTCAATTGTTCTTATTTCATCGCCTATCGAAAATTACCCATCTCACATCTCAAATTCAATTATCATCTATTCGATCTGAATATAGAATTGATCACGAAAGTGAACATCCCATTTCAAGAACTCTATTATAAGTGATAAAATGATTATCACCTCGAACATCAACAATGAGAAGTATGAAACGAAAGACATATCATTTCATGATGAGTGAATCGATCAAGAGGAAGTCACGATTCTTTCAAATTGTTAGAAGCCTCTCCTATCGCTATTTTTTTCTAGTTGTTGATTAAAACTCATTCAACTGAAATATTATTGATGGAGAATGTGGTTGTAACCATTTCATTACCAGAAATGAAATTTTGAAATATGATTTATTCATTTATGTATTTATCTATTTATTCATTTATCAACTTATCAATTCATTCATTTATTCATTGATTCTTTCGTTCGTTTGTTCGTTCGTTCGTTCGTTCTTTCGTTCGTTCGTTCGTTCGTTCGTTCGTTCGTTCGTTCGTTCGTTCGTTCGTTCGTTCGTTCGTTCGTTCGTTCGTTCGTTCGTTCGTTCGTTCGTTCGTTCGTTCGTTCGTTCGTTCGTTCGTTCGTTCGTTCGTTCGTTCGTTCGTTCGTTCGTTCGTTCGTTCGTTCGTTCGTTCGTTCGTTCGTTCGTTCGTTCGTTCGTTCGTTCGTTCGTTCGTTCGTTCGTTCGTTCGTTCGTTCGTTCGTTCGTTCGTTCGTTCGTTCGTTCGTTCGTTCGTTCGTTCGTTCGTTCGTTCGTTCGTTCGTTCGTTCGTTCGTTCGTTCGTTCGTTCGTTCGTTCGTTCGTTCGTTCGTTCGTTCGTTCGTTCGTTCGTTCGTTCGTTCGTTCGTTCGTTCGTTCGTTCGTTCGTTCGTTCGTTCGTTCGTTCGTTCGTTCGTTCGTTCGTTCGTTCGTTCGTTCGTTCGTTCGTTCGTTCGTTCGTTCGTTCGTTCGTTCGTTCGTTCGTTCGTTCGTTCGTTCGTTCGTTCGTTCGTTCGTTCGTTCGTTCGTTCGTTCGTTCGTTCGTTCGTTCGTTCGTTCGTTCGTTCGTTCGTTCGTTCGTTCGTTCGTTCGTTCGTTCGTTCGTTCGTTGAACGAGGAATATATCGATTATTTCCAACAGGGAAGAGTTGAATACGATACAAAAAATTTTTTAGAATTCGCAGAAACGCCCACGTACCCTAATAACACAATAACATCTATAAGACGTCGTAGGAAAATCCATATGGGATGATAGAAACATCTCTGGAAAATCCCTATTTTTCTTGGGACATTCTTGGGATGTTGCTGGCAACACCCGTGTCAGCATTTGCGATGTCTTATGAAAATCCCATCAGAATGTTTGTGGGATGATACGGGATGTACCAGAGACATTCAGGGTACTTGATATGGAACATCTCAGAGAAACTTTTATATAGGATGTTTTTTGTTTGATGACAGTAATGGATGACAAGGTATGAATTATTTTCAATCTGAAATCCTGAAAATGGCCGACCTATTTCCAGATATCAAGTAACAATCCGAATCCGAAAACATAAGGTCGGTGCGGTCCAATAACTAATGGAGGATGATAACAGTGGTTTGAGGCTATCATTTGTTGGCGCTGGGCCGACGGCTGTTAGTAACTCTTAGCAACGTAGTTGTATCGCCATCTATCGGCTGGTATAACAAATAAATTCAGCAATAAATATGCTGAAGAGATATATTTTGATTTTGTCGTTTATTACATGGTTCATGAAGTTAAGCAGGTACCTATTGAGGAATATTTAGTATGATTATTTCAATTTGTTATCGATGAAATTAGCCGGCTTTGGTATAGGTATAAGTATATATGTACGAATATAGTTTTGATTTCCATTTTTTATCAACTTTTCGATGTTTCTAATGTCACAATTGTTTGAACTGTTCAATCATGTCAATCATCATTAGCAGATATGGAACCATGATATTATTTATAAAAAAAAGATCAAATGGGATGTTTCTAGAACATCCAATGAAAACATCTGATGGATGTCCCAAGAGAAACATCTCTGGGATATCGTACCTAAGTCTGAAACATTGGGACATTTGTAGGACCTTAGCGGGATGTACCAGCAAGATCCCGTGTTGTTAGGGTATGAAAATAACGAGGATTTTCAACCAAACAGCCGCCTGAATCCTAGCACGTAATTCAATACCATAGTTTATTCGATAAAAGACAACTATCTCACATCGTAATAATTGAACCTCCTCTCAAATTGCTTGTTGACACATGAGCAACCAAATCTATTTCATGCCCTGAAATTATTGATCAATTTTATTCAAATTATAAAGTTGAGGACCCATCTGTTGTTTCAACAGAATTTTCATCGTCGCAACATGATTTTTCTCTAACTATACCCGCGTCCGCAGATTACAATGATAAGAGACATCTGGAATTCTATGCTTACATATTTCGCAGCGTGTTCGATCGACTTCTAGGGATAGATACCACAGATCTGTGTAGATACCATACGAACTCTTGAACGTAATTCTAGATTTCGCTAAACTGCAGTTTGTAACAAAAAACGCTATTATTTCAATGAAATATTTCAGTGCCAGTCCCTAATTATTTTTTGCATATAATTTACCTGGTAACATTTTGGTTCCACAGCAAATTTTCCAGAATTTCAGGATTCCTGGAACAGTACCACGTCAAAGGACGGTCAGGCGATCGTTGAGGTTTTCAATAAGTCAATCTACGATTTTAACTTCAATATATATAATTATTTTGACATAAAAAACCTGATAAGGACTGACTATTTGAATGGGGTGTGTGGCGTCCTATATTATTAATTTTTTATTTTTAATTCGGGTAGGTATAATTATTATTATTTTTGGCATCATTATTATTATTATTATTATTAGAATCAACTACGAAAGAGAATGAGCAAATGGTTTGAGCAAAACACATTTTATCATTCAGTAAATACGGGTATTTTATCGTGTATTCGAAAGAGAGTTTTTGTTGCAAAAAAGGGTTTTCGGACAAGAAGTATCAGAGACAGCATTCGATATATAGAATTTATCGAGAACACATCGTGATCGAACATTTTATGCAGTTGTGGTTTCTGAGTGCAGTTTTGTGCATATGAACATTGATCCCATTATCAGATCCCGTGAGATTATTGGGGTAAGGTAGGCCCATAGACAAACCAAAAATAAAGAGACTGTTCAAAACATAGGAAATTATGACCATCAAGTTTGTGCGCAACCCAGTCGCGCATGGAGGCGCTGTTCGCAATCGACAAACGAGTCATGACATGAAACATTTTGAATTTCGACATTCGACAGCACGACAGTATAAGGCCTGTTCGTATGTGTTTGCTCTACTGGTTAAACTTAATTTTTTTTTCTATGACTTTCTCTGTTTATATCATGCTATGAACAGAGACAACTATGGAAAAACATCAACTTTAGCAAGTTCCATTTTAGAACGAAGGAACAGACCAATGGAATACAACAGATATTGTTTATTTTCCGAGTTGATGTTGATGTTGATACTGAAATTCGAGTTTCTCTTTCACATTTATTTTACTTTATTTCCGAGTTTATTTCTATTATTGACAAGGTGAAATTGATAATATTCATGTAGGTTGCACGTAGGTACATTTTTATAGAAACATAAGTGATATTCTTTCATTCTGAACTAACCGAAATATGAACGGAACTGAATTAAACATTTCTTGTAGAACGCATGTTAACTGATTTCAGTTTTATGTTTGTTTTATGTAATATTCCAGTATTTCAGATTAAAAGAATATCACAGATGTAAAAGTGTGGTGAGATGTCAAGACCCCGGGCATATAAATTCAAGTGTGCAAGCAAGTGTTGAATAAGTTGATGATACCTAAAAATGACAACAAAAATTGTGAAGAAGATGTGACTACCAAATTGGATCATCTCAACTCATTTTCAACTTGCCCAGTGGAGCCAGAGCCATCATCAGTTCTTGTCAATGAGTTTTGAATGAATTGGTTATTCCAAATTTCGATATTGTGTTTTCTAACTCAGAATTTGACACCCAGGCAACATATGTAGCAGGACAATTTTTTTTCTGAGTTAGTTATTCATTTATTCATAATTTTCATCATTTTTGTTTGTTTCCTTTTTGTATGATGTCTAGTCATTATTAGGCTGAAGAGTTTATATCTTATTTTGTATTTTCTTCAGAGTTTTATTTACTTATTGTTTCATGATATGTAGTTCTCTAGTCTTGGATGGAATAAAAGATATTTTTTAAGTTTTTTAATTTTTTTTTGTAATTTTCTCGATTAATACAAATTTTGAAAGTCAAGGTTTGAAATAAACCGCCTTACCTCAATCGGTAACTAGAAAATCTGTTTTATCGATCATAGTAACTAGTTCCACCCAGTTGCCAAGTGTGTCGCTCTAAACGTGGTGCCAACTTTTACTGCAGGTTTGGGTAAGCCTACC